CTTTTCTCTCTCGATCCGTTCTCTTTCTAGCCTCTCCTTTTCTAGAGCCTTTTCTCTCTCGATCCGTTCTCTTTCTAGCCTCTGCTTTTCTAGAGCCTTTTCTCTCTCGATCCGTTCTCTTTCTAGCCTCTCCTGTTCTAGAGCCTTTTCTCTCTCGATTCGTTCTTTTTCCAGTCTCTCCTGTTCTAGAGCCTTTTCTCTCTCAATTCTTTCCTTTTCTGTTCTCTCAGCCTCTAAAGCACGTTCCCTCTCTAACCTCTCCTGCTCAAGAGCCTTCTCTTTCTCTAGCCGTTCTAGCTCCAAAGCCTTCGCTCTTTCTAGCTGCATTGCCCTCTCCATTTCCTCTCTTTCCTGCTTTGCCTTCTCTTCTCTTTCTCTCTGAAGGCGTTCTTCCTCCAGGGCTCTCTGTCTTTCGAGCTCCCTCTGTCGCTCCAGCTCTATGGCCCTCTTATGCTCCTCCCTCTCTTTAGCCAAAGTCATTTCCCTCTCCTGTCTTTCTTTTTCTAGAGCAAGTTCTTGCTCTCGCTGTAAAGCCTTTTCTCTTTCCAAGGCCTTCTCCCGTTCTTCTCGCTCTAGCGCGAGGGATTTTTCTCGTTCTTCCTCTGCTGCTCGTTCTTTTTCAATTTGTCTCAGCTTCTCTTGCCTTTCCAGTTCAAGTGCTTGTTCTCTTTTCATCTCAGCCTCCCTCTCTCTGTCCCTTTCCTCTGCTGCAGTAGCCTTAAGCACARTTACAGGAAGCTGGAGGGGGGCAGAATGTGTGACACCCTGGTGGGCTCCAGGAATCATGGGAAATGACACATGGCTGCCAGRGTTGGCTGTGTGAGGTACAGCAGAAACCAGACCGTCTGGTGCACACCTGCCAGGAAACAACATAGCTGAAGGTGAGCTGCTATCCTGCCGTTCACCTTCGCCATCTGTGCCATAGCAGGCTGCTCCAGAGAAGGCCCCCTCGGACTCCATCTTGCGAGCAAGAAGGGTCAGCGGACCAGGCTTCCTTTCTGCATGTCCACTCCTTTGAGGCTCTGGACTGCTACTGCGACTGCCGCTACTGGAAGAACCGGAGCTTGAGGAGCTGGGGGAGTGCCTGGCTTGAGCAGCAGGTGGGCTAGGCGGGCTCTGTTTAGGGGTGTCAGGTAAGGGGAAAGATAGCTCTGGAGGCGGGGATGGAGGAGGCGTTGGCTGGCGGAGCTGAGGGGACAACAGAGAAGGGATGTGTTGCTGCTGGGGTTGACGTGGTGCACCAGACCTTTCCCTCGCGGCGGGGACTCTGGGCGGCTCTCTGAGGCTCCTCCTCGGAGCACTGTTTCCCCAGTCGTCATCGTCATCCCCACCCTCGCTATCTTCATCGTCACTGTCGCCTGCAACTTCGCTGGAAGCAGAACCTCGCTCTGACCGCTGCTCAACGACGGGAACCCGCATGGCCACGGAGGCTGAAGCAGGTGGACTGGACACATCAGCCTCCTGATTCCTGTTGTCTTGTGCTGCATTCACAGAACCGAACAATCCCTCARCAACAGAAGGGCCGGGGAGCTTGTGCTGCCCAGGTGCTGGGACATCCTGATCAGCATATAAATAAAAATTAGACATGTGGATTTTCCAGCACAACTAATCTACTTGTCTTGTGGAAACTCGCAGTTAATAAGAAACGTAATAGTTTAGGAAATAAACTGTTATCTAACCTGAGCAGGAGGAGGGCAAGATGTACTGTTGTTAATGTCTCTGTGGTCCTGTTGATCTGTTCACAAAAGATAAAGAAAATATAAAACGTAAAAAAAAATCCGAAAGACTTCCATACAGACCAATAATGTGCTGTAACTTCAATAACTGAGACTAGGAATAGACTTATTATAATTGCCACCCAATTTAAATAGGCCAATATTAGCCACTTAGAAAAACAAATCAGCAATTGGCCATGCCTGAACATACCTAATCCATTACCAAGCAAAATAAATAAATAAATAAAAAATGCAGCAGCAGCAGATGCTACAAAGCGCTGACTGTAGAATGCTCTTTCATATATTATTTGTAGGTGTACAAGTCTTCTACAAGCTGTTAAATATTTGTTTATAAATGACAAGCATTCATTGTTAGATTTAGTTTAAATGAAAAATGTATATATTGGCCAAAAAAATAAATAAATGAAAAATTAATCCATTGGCTTCCCTGATTTTAAAAGAGCTGCATTACACATTAAAACCCATCAAATCAGTGGACCTCAAGGTGAGACTTAGAACACCACTTATACCATTTGTTTCATATGCTTCCCGAGCCTCTCTCTCCAGACGGTGCCGCAGGAGCTCCTGTTGCTGAGCCAGATACTGCTTAATAAAACTGTTCTGGCTCATTTCCTCACCAATCTAAATACAAAGAATGCATCACAAAATACATTAGGTGAAATTCTGCAAGGCAGCTGAAGAAATGCAATTTGAAGACATACACAAAAAACATTGCATTAATGCCCATTCTGCTATTGAATCCCAAAGAAACCCACAGCTGTTGAAATTTAAGTAAAAGTATCTTTGAGACTTTTACCTGTGAGTTTGGCTGCAGTCCAATATGAGGAGTGGAGGTCCTCTGCAAATTCTCCAGCATGAGAGCCTGTTATTCAGATGAAAGGTTTTATTTGTGCAGTATAAAATGGGGGCATTCTTTCAAAGAATATGTGTGAAATGTGCACACAAATTTATTTCACAAAGTGGTCTGAGTTTGTGCTTTTGCCAGRCATCAACATTACAGTAAATAAAACTAATAAGTATCATCATCACCTATCTGTTTATATAAAATTTATAGACTTTACTTRAGATATAGACAGTTACTAGCATACAGAAATTTTTCAACATAGCATTGGAGCAAGACACATCAAACTAGCTCCCTGTGCATGCCATCAACTTAGATTTAAGTCATACAAATCAAATTAATCCTAATAAACAAGAAGACAGATTTCATCCTGCAATGAAAAACATACCAGGCTGGGAATAAGGGGCACATTTGTAAACACACACAAATGAAGTGTACTTAATCTAACAAAAATGTCTCAATTGGTAGTAAATCCTACCCTATCCRWWRCRWWRCRWWRCRWWRCTATCARTAAATGCCTGTTATWAYGATTTTTATTGCTCACCAGCATGYTGTAAACAAAACAATAAGTGGTCTAATGTCAAAACCAACAGATCAAAGTGTGCACAATGCACGATCATAACTCAAATCTCACATCAGTCCTGCAGCAACAAGTGCCATTTGTGTCCTAAAGAAAACAAGACGACCTTTGATATTTGCATGTGAAGAGAAAATAATCAAAGACAAGACGGGCATAAACACTTGTAGGAAAAACAATCAAATGTAAACAGTGTTTTTTTTATTTATTAATGTAGTCTACTGCGTGTTTTTAGCCGGCACATTCATGTACCAGGTCCAGGACCACTGTGTTTACCGGGAAAACGAAAATCCAAGCTTTCATGGCGTAATGTGTCACAATGTAAACAAAATTTTATCCAACATGACTCATCGCGGCACCTCGCATACCCAGATYTCACCCAGACGCAAACTGTGCTCGTACCATTAATGACAACATACAGTAGAAAACACGGAGACAGCCGCTGAGGCCACCTCTCAACTCACAGCGTTAGCACGAAAGCTAACAGGCTAACACAGCATGAAAACCAACGCAATTTACAGCTAGCCAATAAGTTGACTGAACTTCGGGGCTTGCTGTGAGCCGGACAACTCTGGACAAGCCAAACAGTGCTCAACTACGATGCAGAACAAAGTCCAATTTCATAGCGGGATGTCAACAACGAAGTCTACTACTACGCTCGGCAGGAACGACACTCAGTTGTCGGCCCTCCAGAGTCAGCATCAGCCCGTCTCTCCGTTCACGCTAGCTCGTACGCACAGTAGTGCCACATTTCAGCGTAAAGCTTACCCCCTTGAGCCTTTTAACGAGAGCATTCTTCTGTCCGCTTTTTGACAGTCCTCTCTCTTCAAGAGCTGCTTTTAAGTCCGCTACACGGAGGGACTGGAGGGGTCTCCCGTCCAGCGTAACGTCTTCGAGGTCCGCCATTTTCCGTTCCTCTAGTCAGTTCCCAGCGAGAGCAAAAAGTATGTGGCAAGCCGTTGTAACATATAATTAGACCTCATGCCAGAAAAGAAAATTAAACAGAAAATACAGCATGTTAGGAAATATAAGCGTAAGATACTGAAAAATCTTTAAAAAGTTTCAGTGAATGTTTTAAAATGTAACTCTTTTGAGTATGTGTAATTATTTAAAATAGCATTTCTGTCAGGACAAACTCGAGTTTCAAATATCCGCACAGTAAATTACACCAGACACAATTTACATTTCACATTGTTTAATGTTAAAATAGATTCTTGTCAAATGTTAAGTATCTAAAATATAATGGTGTCACTGGATTGTTTATTTATTTCAATTAATGCCYAAAACTAGCTTTTAAACTAATTTAATAATCCTAACATGGTTAAGCCTTTATATTCAAAATCGCATTAGGATTATAGAATAGTTTTTTTTTTTAATTTGGGAGGTTTATTTTATATATCATTTTGGACAGCTGAATTATTTATAAAAGAACGTCTGCCGTGAAGATTTATTTTTGCAACGGATATATGATAAGTCGGCTTGCTATACATCAGAACTTCCTACAACCAACGTCATTTTCGACGAGTTCAAATTATGAAAAACCTTACACAAATTCATTTTTAAATTAACACTTAAATCTATACTTTTGTCCGCACTGCACGCAAATTATAGTTTTGGCATCGGTTTTTGGTCAAAAACAACCTTTGCCTAAAGTCCACGCAAGTCTGAGCCCCTTGCTTTATTGACCGCGTCCACTTCCTGTTTGATGTTTGTTAGCTAAACTAGCATAGATACAGATAACTAGTACTCAGCTCTAATTGTGTTCACAACATTGTTTCAGCTTTTTTAAATTTTATTTGTAAGCAGATGTGTGTGTTAAGCATAGTTTTATGTATGACTGGCTTTAACGTTGGAGTCCTGCGGCTGTCTGGTTTAAGCTAGCTGTTCACAACAAAAGGATTCTCTGTTTTGCCTCGGCAGCAGAGGAGCAGCAAACTTTCGGAGGCTGAAACAAACTTTCCCGAGATGTCGTGGTTCAATCGGGTCGGTCAAGGCTCGTACCACCAGCAGCAGCCCACTGGATTTACATCTACAAACATCCCGGGCAATACCGGCAGCCCCGTCGGTCCAGCGGCAGGATTGGTGACCCAAAACCCAAGCGGCGGGGCTGTTTTTGCTTCTCCGAGCCCATTGCACTTGCCATCAGCCCCTCATCGCGGTGCAGCCTCGCCCCTCAGCCTCGAGAATCTGTCCCGCGCGTCTCAGAGCGCAGGTCAACTCCGAGAACCAGAACCCATCTCCTATGTGATCCTGCAGGAGCAGCGGTGCGTCCTGAGCTGGTTCCAGAACTGGACCTCGGCTCAGAAGGAGCGCTTCCTGAACGACCTGCTGGGGAAAGCCGTGCCGGGGAAAGTGTGCACCCTCCTGGATTCCCTCAGTTCTCTTCAGGTACCAACCACCCTGTAACCATCCTGCTCCGATCATTAGTCCGGCTTGGTCTGAAACTTGCTGTGTGACGTTGTCTGTGTGCTGACAGGTCAAAGACAAGCTCCCCAACATCTTTGAGTGCCAGCTTCACCTGTGGACACAGTGGTTTGAGTCGTGGGGGGAAGACGAGAGGAATCATTTTCTGCACATGTTGGAGGAGCAGGACTCCGTTTTTGTGGCCCAGTTTTACATGAGTGTAGCTGGCACAGCAGGGAGAGACTGAAGGATTACAGGTGGAACATTTCACATTTCACCAAKTCTCTAGTTTTCATTTAGGATGTGTTTTTTTAATACAGAAACGTTCCAAGCTTGTATTATTTACTATATTTTATGTGTTGTTTTCCAAAAAATATATATTCATGGCTCATTGACAGAGAAAAGGTCCCAATTTTTTGTTTTATTTTATTTTTTTGCCAAAATAGTATTTGGAAATAAAMAAGACCGTAAACACATTGCGTTGCTATATATGTTTATTGTTCTGAACCAATCATACAAAAAGCATAAAACACACTCATTGACTTTGGAGAGTAATCTGTTACTTAAATGTTAGTAACTGAGACACGTTTTAGAAAAGCGATTACATCAAACTTATTTTATCCAGTCAGTTGATCCGGGTTGAACCAAAACTATTGGAGTAGGATTTGCACCATCCTCTACGCAGTAATTAATAAATGGATAGATTTTGTCGGTAAAGGCCTGACCTGAAAAGGTGTATAAGTGAGATCTGGTACCAGCATCATAGAAAGAAATCTGTCCCTTTTTGTAGTCCAGCAGGATACCCAGTGTAAGCGTTGGAGTTCTAGCTCGAATAGTAGCCGGTCTCTTATCAAGAGCTCTCAGCTCACCCTGTTTGTTCAGGACTACGGTCCAGAAACCTCTCGTTGGATTGAATGATAACAACCCCTTCCTTGTAGAGGATTGGCTGGCCATCCCGATGTGAAAACAGCTCTTTCCAGCGACGTTCACCTCCCAGTAATGTCTGCCGCTTGAGTAACCAGTTGAACCCAGAACGGCGAGAGACACGTCAAACCTTCCGGGGCTGTCCTGGACCTGAAGAGGGCTATCAGTGGTGGAGACCTGGGTTCCATCTGCAGACAAAACTATTCTGGGGTTGGCAGTATTTGGATCCATGGTCATTAGAGCTGTAAACAGAAACACGTATTATTATTTTTTATTATTGATCAAATTTACAAAATTTAAGCTATGAAAATATAACAGCCTTCCACAAAAATTCTTTAAAGTCACCCAATAACTTTCATCCAAATAAAAATGTGTAAATCTAAGGTATTGATGAAGATCAGGGATGTGAAACTTTAATTCTTCTGAAGTGTCTTCTTCTGATCTTAACCAAAAACGGGCATAAACCTAACCAATATATTTAAAGGACCATAGAAAAAGATAGTTGAGCAATATATGCATCCAAAATGTTCCAATTTATGCATGGAATTTGGGCAGCAGAACTGGGCTACCTTTGTCAGCTTAGTTTCTAAGCAGAAATAAACGTTACTGTACAGAAAAAGACTAAATAGATAACTAACCTTTAACTTGGTTATAGTTGAACTAATATTCTACAAATACTGTAAAAATGAAATAACAGTTCCAAAAAAACTGCCTTTTTAGTTCTCTAGTTCAGATATGACTTAGTTAGAAGTTTTATTTCCAATTAAAAAAAAAGGTGTTCCCTTTACCTGGTGGATATGAGATTCAATGACTTTGTGCACCAAAGTCAAATCAAATATTGATAAGTTTTAAAT